CACTTACAGATCCTGACGTGGGCTGTGGGCTACCCCGAGCCTCTCATCTTCTTTCCAGCAGGGTTTCCATTGTTGCTCATACAAAGCTGGCCCATTCCATCTTTCTCATAATTCTCTTTGCCCCCAGACCCATCCCATGCCACAGACATTCCATCTCCCAGCTGAATGTCACCTCCTACCCACACTTCGCCCCGTTGAACCACAGATGAAAACCCCAGGAAATCTGATGCCTCTTTGTGCCGACGGTGACCGCCACCCACTTTCCATAGCAAGCATCCTTCTTGCCAACAGACCTATAGGCAATTCAATGTCACAATCCTACACCCAGAGTCTTCTCCTAAGGGCCACCCTTGGGACCAATGGTCTTTGGAGGCAAGTGTTGAGACGCGGCCTCGAGGCGAGGCACGGAGGATTGTTGCTATGTGAAGTGTGTTGGTACCCAAGCAGGGTGGGTCATCACCGAGAGGCCAGGCCAGGACGGATCAAAGGCCCTGGAGGCGTGTGAAGACCAGCGGCTCTGATGTGGCGTGAAGAGATGTCTGATACAAAGGCACACCATAGATTTTCTTTCCCAACAAGGCTTGTCCTATTTGCATTTATTGATGTAATGTGATGGATAGCTTTAGTTCTCCTTCTGGCATCTTATTTTATATTACGCTTTCTCTCTTCGCTGCTTCTTTTGTTTTGCATCTTTTGCTCTGCGCTGTGTATGTGTTTTCTTCAGGTGATTTCACTGCATCACTCTCTTTCTTCTGGAACCCGCAGACTTTGTCAAGACAAGATGTGTCAGATATGCTAAGATGTGTTGTGATGCATAAAGCCTGAGACCACACACGTGGGCGCTTCTCGCCGGATTTACTGTTGTCTATTTCTGCTGTACAGAAATCCTGGTGAATTCAATTTTGCCCAATGCACACCAAATAGGACAAAAGGGTCGTGGGTTTATAACGACATGGGCGGTGTTAGCGAGAACATTCCTGAGAAAACTTCCATCTTGACTAGGGTTAATAAGACCCAGTCCTCCGCTTACGGTTTCCCCTGTCTGGTGAGTGGGAGGAGTTTCTGTGCACCAGCTTCTCATTCTTCACGTTCTACAGTTTGTTCCTTCTCCTCTCCCCACGTGGGCTCAGTGTGAGGCACTGCAGCACACATTTCTGCTGCAGTGGGACCCCTTTTTCTGCCCCTTCGAGCCCTCCCCTGGCTGAGTCGGCCCAGAGGCTTGTGGGGCCCTCCTGTACCAGGACAGCTTGCAAAAACTGAATGATAGCAGGAAAGACTACAGACCCCGTAAATCTATCCCACAAAACCCAAACTAAACATATCTCATGTCAACCGTTCTCTCATTCCAGTCCTTTCCAATATCATCTGACATGAGGCGAGGGAAAATTTAGGCCAAAAAAAAAATATATATATATATTGGTCTTGAGGCGGCTCAGTTGGTGAAGCATCTGCTTTCAGCAAAGGTCGTGATCCTGGGGTCCTGGGATCGAGTCCCGCTTCTCCCTCCACCCACCCCCGCCCCCCACTTGTGTGTGCACACACACACACTCTCTCTCTCTCAAATAAATAAATAAAATCTTAAAGAAAAAAGATATTGGTCTTAATGGACTGTACCCAAAACTGCCCTGTGAAAAATCTGTAAAAGCATATGCCCTATGAAACATTATTTGGGGTCCTCAACCCTGTCCTTTAAAGGGGCTGTTGAACTGAGGGGCCCAAAGCTTAAGCTGTCTCCATGTTGTACCTCATGGTTTATAATTTAATGTAGAAACATCAGTCACCTACAAATAGGTGTAAGGAAGTCCAACATAGTTCTGGTCTTTTCCCCATGATGATTGGTGTTCTTTAGGAAATACCAAAACCTTTAAAAAAATGTCTTCTTGTTTTTTTAGCTTCCTGTCTTGCTGGTGCCTGGTCTACCAGTTGTACTAATGGGGTACTGATGGAGCCCAAAAAGCAAGAGATTCCTCTTCCCAAGAACGGATTTACAGCAGCTCTGTTCCATCGAACTTTCTGCAATGAAGGAAGTGTCCTGTGTCTGTTCTGTCCAAGGTGGTAGCCACTAGCCACATGTTGCTAGCTATGAAGCCTTTGAAATGTGCCTGGTGAGACTGAATAATTGAATTCGATTTAGGTTTAATGAATTAAAACTAAAATTAAAATAGCCACATGTAGCTGGTAGCTGCCACATAAGGAGTGGAGATTTGAAGCCACCAGAGTTGGAAGTTGATAGAAAGGGGAGGAGATGGGGGGCATGCCATCCACGTGGCTGCAACCAGCCTGAGGTTTTTTGCTTGTTTGTTTGTTCATTTTTTTAAAAAAAGATTTTATTTATTTATTTGACAGACAGAGATCACAAGTAGGCAGAAAGGCAGGCAGAGAGAGAGGAAGAAACAGGTTCCCCACTGAGCAGAGAGCCCTATGCGGGACTCGATCCCATGAGACCATGACCCAAGCTGAAGGCAGAGGCTTTAACACACTGAGCCACCCAGGTGCCCCTTTTGTTTGTTTTTCAAACTATTTTATTGAGGCATAATTGACGTACAAATTGTTGTACATATCTAATGCATACAATTTGATGAGCTTGGCAATAAGTACACACCCAAAAAACTATTCACCATGATCTATGCCATAAACATACCTATTGTCTCCAAAAGTTTATTTATTACTATTATTAGTTATTACTATTATTTTTTAATGTGTCTTATAAGAACACTTAACATAAGATTTACCCTCTTAAGGATGCCTGGGTGGCTCAGTCGGTTAAGCAGCTGCCTTCGGCTCAGGTCTTGATCCCAGGGTCCTGGGATGGAGCCCTGTATCAGGCTCTCTGCTCAGTAGGGAACCTGCTTCTTCCTCTCTCTCTGCCTGCCTCTCTGCCTACTTGTGATCTCTCTTTGTCAAATAAATAAATAAAATCTTTTAAAAATTAAAAAAAATTACCCTTATAGTAAATTTTTAAATATATAAATCAATCTTCACTATAGGCACTACACTGTGCAGTAGAATCTCTAGGTCTTTATTCATCTTGTATACCTGAAACTTTGCACCCCTTTGACTTCTGCCTCCCCCATTTCCCGCTCCCCCCAGCCCCTGACAACCACTATTCTATTCTCTGCTTCTGTGAGTGTGACTATTTTAGATCCCCCATGTAAATGAGATCATGCACTGTTGTCGTCCAGTTGTCTGATTTCTTTCACTTCTGGGTTCATCCTTGTTGTTGCAAATGGCAGGACTTCCTTCTTTTTTAAAAGGCTGAGTAATAGTCCATTGTATGTGCATGCCACATTTCCCCCCATCTATCCATTGGTGAACATTTAGATGGCTTCCCCATCTTGGCTATTGTGAACAACGCAGCAAGGAACATGGGAGGGCAGGCATCCGTTTGAGATCCTGGTTTCAGTTCCTTTGGATGTACACCCAGACGTGTGATTGCTGGATAATATGGTAGTTCTATTTTTAATTTCTTGAAAAAACTATATTGTTTTCCACAGTGGCTATACCAGTTTACATTCCTACCAACAGTGTATCAATTGCTAAATACTTATCTTTTGTCTTTTTGATACCAGCCCTCCTAACAGGTGTGAGATGATACCTCATTGTGGTTTTGGTTTGCATTTCCCTGAGGATTAGTGATGCAGAACAGATTTTCATGTACCTGTTCACCATGTGTATGTCTTCTTTGGAGAAATATCAATACAGTTCCTTTGCCCATCTTTTAATTGGGTTATTTGGGGTTTTGCTATTAAGTTGTAGGAGTTCCTTATATCAGCCAGGGGAGTTTTGAATAGAGAAAGCCCAGAGATAGTTCTGCTTAGAGCCCACTAGGGTTCTTGTCCTTCTCTCTCAGACTTTCTGGAACAGCCAAGTAGGCCAGACTGAGGAGGAAGGAGGGGAGCTAACTAATCCGTTTGACACAGTGCCTAGGACCCATGAAAATGTTTTAGTTTCTTTAAAAAATTAGAAGAAAAAAGGAATTTTTAGGCTGAAGAAAATGTTTTAATATATAATATTAAAATATTCATCTTTATGTCAACCCACACATAAAATATATAATTTTTTTTTTTTTAATCAGGGAAGGAGCCCTTGAAAACAAAAGGGCTTAGGACCCACCAAAGTGGGTCCTAATGTGGTCTGCGTTAATGTGCGTTGGGGGGAAAAGGTGCTTCCTCCACCATTGAGCTCATCTTGGACTCCCATGTATCTCCCAGGCCCCCCCCCCCCCCATTGAATGCTCCCCCAGAGGCCACAGATGAATTCCATGAATGGGTCTAAGAGAACCCAGGCTCTCCAGCAATCCCAGGGTCAGAACAGACTCCTGCCCCCAGGCTTGGAAAATGCCCCTCTCTGCTCTTACATACTTGGGCAGGGGGGAGTAAGGCGCTGGGGAGGGGTTCAAGAGCGGTGCGGGAAGGCAGGGAGGGGAAATGCTCTGTGCTAGAGTGAGTTTACGAAGCCGAACCCGTAGAGAAAGAAGAATGGGCTCAGAGAGGTCGAGACACTTGCTCATGCTCACGCAGCTGGGGTTCAAACCTCATTATGACACCCAAGCACAGATCCCTGGAACCCCTTCCCCAGCCACTGTGGGACCTTGGGCAGAGCACGAAGAGCCCCTTCTGTGCTGACCATCCCGCCATCCCTGAAGACTGTGCCCTTTACTCCATTCCTGCTCCTTCCAGAGCCGATCCTGTAGGATCTCTGGGCCTCAATTTCCCCTTTGTTGGGACGTGCGTTGGGACGGGGTCTCCCTATAGGAACAAGGAAGGCAGGGAAAGAGGAGGACTTGGCTGCCCCTCCAGCCCACAAAGAGGCCCCAACTGTGGGTCTTCCCGGAAGCCCCCCCCCCCCCCCCGAGCGCGCCGTCCCGCGGCAGGAATGGGGCTCGGCCCCTTTAAGTCCCGCCCGGGCCAGCCGGGGCCAGACCGCGCCCTTCCCGGATCCGCGCCTGGGAATCGCTGCCCGGCGCGCGCCCCCCGCGTTCCCCCGCGTCACGCCCGAGACCCCGCGCGCAGCCCGGGAGCGCCAGGCCTGCGGGCGCAGCGGCCGTGCGCGTCATGAGCCGCATCTACCACGACTGCGCCCTCCGGAACAAGGCGGTGCGGAGCGCGCGGCTGCCGGGGGCCTGGGACCCCGCCGCCCACCAGGGGTAGGCCGCTCTGCCCCCGCCTCCCCGACCCCGGGGGCCGGTTTTCCGTCCCCGGCGTGGAACCCGGGCTCCGGGATTGGGGAGGGGACTGAGGTCCGGGTGCGGGGGGTAGGAAAGGCAGACATGGCCATAGCTACCCCACGACTCGCACCCCGGCGCTCCCCTCCGCCCTGCAGCCGGAGCGCACCCCCTAAAACACAGATCGGCTTAAAACTCCCCGCTGCCCCCCGTACCCTTCCCGACGCTCAAAAGCACCGACCTTTGTCTCAACCCCTCCCGGGCTGCGGCTGTGAACTCTAGCTACAGGCCTACGCGCCCTGCCTGCAGGCCTTGGCACAGGCCGCCCCACTTCCCGCCCCTGAAGGGAGGACGTCGTGCAGGGACCCCAGGAGCGCGGGGCAGTTGGCGTGGCCGTGGGAGGGCCGTGCCTGCCTGGTGGCGCGTGTGGGCTCCGGATGGGGAGGGGGTGGCTGTCGTCACCCGCACTGGGGGTTATGAGAACAAATGGACCCTTCCATTTGCAGTTAGAAACGCAAGAATTTGCAGGTGAGGCGATGGGTAGGGTAAGTAAAGTAGAGCGAGTTTCCGTTTTCATCCCCATCCTTTCGTGTCCCCATCCCTCTCCCGTTTCTGTGGCTCTAAAAAGGGAAGCCTCCGGTTCTTTTATGAAAACTAGAAGAGGGAAGCGCCAATCTAGTTCCTCTTGGGCTAGTCATGGAACTTCTAAGCTTGGGTTTTCCCACCTCTAGATGGATACGAGCGAGGAGAAGAATAGAAAGTGCTTTAAGAGAGGTGGCGGGGGGGACCCAAACAGGTGAAAAAGAAAGATACTCTATAGCAGCTTAGACCCCTCCCTCAAATTTGGCTTAATAAAAAAGTAAAATCCTTTATATTTAGTAAGCACTTAATAGTCTATAAATACCTTCACTTACACGATCTTATGCTGTGGTCATCACAGAAGCAGAGTGAGGTGGCTGTTACTCTCCCATTTTCTAGCTAAGAAGACTGAGGCTGTGCATTACAGTAAAGCCTTGCGTGAGGGGCAGCAGCTTGGTCTTGCAGCCTGAGGCTGTCCCCCCTACCCTCTGCACTGCGTCCCAGCCTTTGGGGCCCTCCGAGGAATGGAGGATCTGTTCAGTACCAGGCCTGCTTGGGGGCCAGGCGACTAGGAGACACTTGTGGGCCCTGCTACGGTCCCAGTGCAGGCTCCGACCTGGGCCATTGAACTTGTGGTTCTTCCCTGACGACTGACAGAAGCAGCGGATCCCTTCTTTCTCTCTCATCCCCAGGGGCAACGGCGTCCTGCTGGAGGGAGAACTGGTCGATGTGTCCCGCCACAGCATCTTGGACGCCCATGACAGGAAGGTGAGGATGCTTGCCAGGGGACACCTGCAGGGACTGGCTTCCCGGTCCCCAGCCACCAAGCCATCTCCCTGTGCTCGGCTCTGCCAGTGCGCAGACTTGGGGTGCAGCTCATTCCCGGAGGGGCTCGTGGGACAGGTGGGGGGTGAGTGGGGAGATAGCAGCCCAAAGGGGCCACTGGGTGGAAAGGGGCCAACTGGGACTGTGCTAGGCAGAGGACAGAGGGCAGGACCTGGGTTCTTGCTGATAAGACAGAGCAGCCCTAACCCCATTGGCGCGTTTGGGGCTGGGATTGGGAGGGTGGGAGCAGAAGGGGTAAGGCGACTGGTTCAGGGCTGAGGCTGTGGGTGCTGTGTGGCCGGAAGACTCTGTGAAGAGGCCTGTCACCTTCTGTTTAGAGCGCTGGGAGCCTTACTGGCTGGGCAGGATGAGGGGCTCTTTATTCTGGGAGGGCCGAGGGCCCAGACTCCTGGCTTCTGGTCTGGTGGTCCCCACTGCCCTGGGGCCTAATGGACAAGGGGAGAGCGGGTTAGCAGCCTGTGTGGGTGTGAGGGGCCGGCAGTGACCTTCCCCTTTCTGAGTACCACGTCTGTTCCTGGGAGGCTGCATGTCCTTGGAACTTTTTGGAATTGCATTATTTTAAACGTACTGGTGGAATTTGCTGTTAGAAGGACCCCTCTGCAAAGTAGTGAATCTCTTGGCATGGGCCTGCTCTTCTTTGAGCACCACTGTGTGTGCCTGGGCACTTTGGAAGTCTGGGTTTCTAGGACCTCCTTGTGCATACAGGTGGGGACACTGGGGTGGGAGGTGGGTTGCTGTATGAGGGGCCTTTGTCCAGCCTACAGTCTGCGTTGTTGACCCTCCCCGGGGCTTCAGCTCCCATGTCCTTGTACCTTCTTCCCTTGCCCTCTCATGTCCCTGGGGTCATGCCCTCTGTCACCACGCCATCTCAGGTGTGCTCACACACACCTCTGCTGCTTGCTGGTGTCGCTTTCCAGAGCACTAGTTCTGCATTTCCGCCCCCTTTCATATAGCCCCGCTCTCCTGTGCTGACCACCTTCATTCCTTGATCCCTAAAGCCGAGCTCATCTCGGTGCCCCCGAGGCAGGCCAGAGGCCTGGTGCTGCTCAGCGCCTGTTGCTGTCCTGTGGCCCTAGGGAGAGCCTCCGCTCCCCCACCCCCTCCTTAGTGTGCAAGTCAGGAGGGTAGACAACCAATCCAGAGCCCCCGGCCAGCCTGCCTTGCAACGCCAGTGCTAGTTCACTCCAGCCTGTTGTGGGGCTCTCTTAGCCCTGCCCAAGCTCGCCCCCACTCAGTTCCCCCGCCCTATGATAAGGCAATATACCTCCCAGCTGCTGGCCACAGGCCTGCAAACCTCCACTGTCTCTTACTCCCTTCTCCCCCAGGCAAGCCGTGCCTGGTCCTATTGGCCTCCTCCCTTGACCATCCCTTCCCCACCCTTCCCTTCCTCTTCCCACTGGCCTCAGATGAGCCTCAGGAATTTAGCCTGTCCTCTTCAAACCTTGCACCCTCCCCTCCTGCCTTCTGGCTGCCCCCAACGCTCATCCTTGCCCTGTTGCCAGCTTGTTTCCCGAAAGACCTCTCTTAGGATCTCACTGCCCCTCAGAAATCTTTGAGGATTCCTTCTTGTCTACCAGATCAAGTCCAAACTCTGAATACCAATGCAGGGCCCATCTTGAACTGATGCTACTTGCATTCTCAGCCTGGGTACCCGCGAGGCCCCTGCGTGCCCTGTGTCACTCAGACACGCACATGGGACCTTGACTTTGATTTCGTACCCGTCCCCGGCTTTGAATAGTCTCCCTTCACCCTTCTTCCCCTGCAGTCCTAGGATCTCCACCCTCCGAGACCTCGCCTTTTCTGTTTTTCCCGGGAGGTGGATTCCTCTTCTCCAGTCTCTGGGGGCGTGTATCATCTGCCTGTTTGGCTTAGAGCAGCTGGCAAGCAGCATTGACAGCACCCTCGTGTTTTCCACCGTGCTGCCTCCTCTCTCATCTCCTTGAACCTTTGCAACATTCCTGAAAGCAGACAGTGCATTGTCCCCATGCCACAGGGGAAACTGAGGCTGGGAGGGATTTGCCCCAGGTCCCACATGTGTTGGAAGAGGCACTATGGCTACCCTCACTCAAAACTCCCTTACAGTGCCCTTTCCACGACACTTGGGTTTTTCACTCCTGCGTTGCAGTATTTGGGGTCCTTGGCGCTTGGGTTATGTTTTTTTGTCTGTGTTTTCTGTCTCTGGCTGGGTGGAGACCTTGGGGTCAGGCACGGGGCCTGCCATCTCACGGCTGTCTGCGTGGTTCATTTTGTGTGGCAGGTGCTGTGCTAAGCACATGATTAGATGAATGAATGACTATGGGGGCGGGGGTGGCATCTGCCCAAGCTTGAGTATCTTTCAGCGCTGAGGTGGGATTCAGGATGGAGGGAGATGTTAGGGGGCGGTTTGCCGTGGAGCCCTGTGGGGAGTGTGTGTGTTGGAGGGAGGGGGGAAGGAAGCAGTCCCCCACTCTCTCTCTGGCCCCAGGAGCGCTACTACGTGCTGTACATCAGGCCCAGTCGCATCCATCACCGGAAGTTCGACCCCAAGGGAAATGAGATTGAGCCCAACTTCAGCGCCACCAGGAAGGTCAACACGGGCTTCCTCATGTCGTCCTACAGTAGGTATCATTCCTCCCTCAGGGCCTCCTGAGCCTGTGGCCTTTCTGTGTCTCTAGGGGGTCCCTTGGCCCTAGTGAGTGTCTTCTCAGTGTGGCTGGCCTTGAAGCCCATTTCTGGCCTGAGGGCCCCTGGCTGGACTCCTTCCTGCCCCCACTTTCACTCAGAGGATCCCTAGGGCCCCACCTCAATCCTCAGGGCCTGGCTGGCCTCCCACCTCCTGCCGACTCCTGGAGTCTGGCCGAGTCGTCCGTGTACAGTGCACTCTGGGCTCTCGCTGTCTTCGTGCCCAGGCTCCATTTTCCTGCCCAAATTCCCATGGGATTCTTAGGCCCTTTGTGACTTCATTCCTCTTTCCAGTTTTGGCTCTACAAGGACGTCTTTGCTGTCTGCCCCTGTGGAAGAAGGTTTTAAGGTTGAATGAGAATCCATCCATCCGTGCCTCTGTCGGTTTACTCATTTGTGCTCTCAGTTGTCCATTCATTATCTGATTATTTAATGAGCATCTGTGCTGGACCGGGCCCTGAGCCGCGTGTGGAGCTGCCTGTTGGTCCCTGGACGAACACGACTCGGACCTGCACTCGAGATGTCCTCAGTCTGGTAGCGGAGATGGACGGGCCCGGGACTGGAGCCCAGGCAGGCATGGTCAGGGGCTGCCCCGGAGGAGGGGACAGCAGGACCAAATGCTGAAGGAAAAGCGGGAGTCAGCAGGGTGCCAGGGCTGGGAAGGGCGTTTCAGGAGGGGGCTGTGTACCAAGGCATGCTGGGAGCTGGGGGCCCCTGATGCAGGGGGAGGAGAAGCATCTAGGGATGCAGGGGCCAGGTCGAGAAGGGCCCCAGAAGGGACACTCACCCAAGGGTTCAGGGGAGCCCTGTCATGGGTAGTTTTAAGTAGGAGAGCGACATGATTAGAACGCTTTTTAACAATCCCTGAGGAGAGACCAGCAGGCCTGTTAGGAGGCTGTGGTGGCTGAATTAAGGGCCTGTGGGTGGGGATGGAGAGACTGGATAGATTGGAGACAGAGGAGGGACCGTGGCCTCAGTGCTTCGAGACAAGGAGAGTGAAGGAGGAATCAGGGACGACCCCCCGGGTTTGGGCTTGGCTACAGGTGTGGGGAGAAGCGTTCTGTCTGGGACCTGTGGTCGCAGTTTCAGGTAGAGGGGCCTGCAAGTGCACTGGGGCCTTGGGGCCACAGTTCTAGAACGCAGGAAGCAGGCTGGGCTGGAAGCACATGTTCAGAAGTTGTTATGCATTGCTGGTCCTGAAGCTAGGAAAGTGGATGGAGTTGCCCAGGAGGCCGTCTTGGGGAAGAGCGACCTGGGAGAGGGACCCCTGCAGAGGCCGGGGTTTGGGGGGAAGCCTGTGTGTCTCTGCGGCCCAGTGAAGGTGGGGGTGAGGTAGTGATGAGGTCAGGTGCTGTCTCAGCCCCAGGAAAGTGGGGGCCACTGAGCCTCCAGTGGGTTCACAGTGAAGAGCTCCCAGTGACCCTAGTGGGAGTGGGGGTAGGGGCTTCTGAAGTAGTGGGTGTCAAAGCCAGAATTCAGGAGGGCATTGAGGAAAGATTTGGTAGGGAGAAGGAGAGCCCGGTCCCCGAGGAGGGGGAGTGGATGGGATCTGGAGCCCAGATCTGGGGGAGCTGGCTAGAGGCCGGAGGGGGACCCATGGTCCTTTGAGATGGAAACAGAAGGGAGGAGGAGAGGTTTCATGTGCTTATCAGTAGATTGACAGGCAGGTGGTATTAGGGGGTTCTTGGGAAGTGGAGGTGAGGTGGTTTGGTTCCTCAGGAACATTGAGCAGAGCGAGGGCTGAGGAGTAGGGAGCAGTTCGAAAGCCCTTGGTGGGTGTGAGGTATGTGGGGGATCCCCAAAAAGTGTTCCTGACGGATCTTGGAGGTTTTACACCCTGAATGGAACGCAGTGTGGGCTCCATGGGCCAGCTGGCTGCTCTCTCCAGCCGAGCCCTGCCCCCATCTGTTGGCGTCTGTTGGCATGGAGAGGGCCACCTGAGGGACAGTTTTGGGTCGCTGAGCTGGGGGGTGGCTGTGTACACCTTTGTGAGGTCTCAGGGCCTTGTGAGTCCTCACTTCTCAGTCTGGGACACCACTGCCCACCCCCCACGCCCTGGTCCCCAACCCGGGATCTCCAGTTTGGGACATTCGGGGCTGGCAGGTGAGCCTGTTGGAATTCTCCCTGAGCCTTGAGCTTTGCCGGGACTGGGATGAGCAGGCCAAGGGGGAGGACGGGCATCGCCATGGTTGGCTACTCATTCCAGCAGCTCCAGCCCTACCAGGAGCCCCCGAGAGCCGGGAGAGAACCCTGGCTCATCACTGCGGCCTCCATGGGGAGGCACGTGTGGAGGCTTTGCATCCTGCCTCTTTCCCTGACTAGCTGTGTGACCTTGGGCAACTCACCTGACCTCCCTAAGCCTTCGTTTTCTCCTGTGTCAAAAAGGCATAATTACGACATTTACTTGCATTGAGGGTTTCCCGCATGCCAGGCACCATGCTGACTGCTTTCCGTGTGTTACTTCATGTACACCTCACGTCAGCCCTAGCAGGTGGGTACCGTTTTTATCCCCACCTGTCAGGCCCAGGGAGATTAAGTCACCTGCCCAAGCTCACATGGCTTGCAAACAGATCGGCACCAGGCAGCCTCGCTCCGGGGCCCACGCCCATACCTCCTCTGCCAGGAAGCCCTCGGTGAGTCCTGGCACCATGGGGACGCGGAGCCCTCGATTCAGGTGGTTCTGTGTGTGTAGAGCCCTCCGGCCTCACCTGGCTCCCGAAAGGCCCTCCTGCGTGCTTGCCACTCCAGCAGTAACAACCTTCTCGTGCTGTGTGCCTGCAGAGGTGGAGGCGATGGGGGACACCGACAGGCTCACGCCCGAGGCCCTGAAGGCACTGGTGCAAAAGCCAGAGCTGCTTGCGCTGACAGAGAGCCTTACCCCCGACCAGACAGTGGCGTTCTGGATGCCCGAGTCAGAGATGGAGGCCTTGGACCTGGAGCTGGGGGCCGGGGTACGGCTGAAAACTCGAGGCGACAGCCCCTTCCTGGGTGAGCATGTTCCCGTGGCCTGTAGAGGCTCTTGGCCTTCTGTCTGAGGCTCCCCTACCCCTCCTGCTCAGAGCTCATGGGAGCAGGCCAGGTCTGCTTAGTCCTGACATCTGTTTCTAAGTGTCTGGACAAGTGCCCTGGGGCCAACAGCCTAAACACTCTGGATCCTGGGGGAGCCACCCCATCCCATGGTTCCTGTGGGTGATGTCTCCTGTCTAGCACCTAGATATCACACTCAGAGCCTCCCCGAGGGCACCCAGGTCTGAGAGAACAGTGGTTTAACCCGGGCCTAGGGGACCCCAGCAGATCAGGCCAGCCCCCAGTATGTTTCCAAAATAGGTAGATGGGTCCGTTCAACTTCTTCCCTTCTTTCAGAGTCCTTAGCCAAACTTGAGGCTGGAACAGTGACCAAGTGTAATTTTGCTGGTGATGGAAAGACAGGGGCATCCTGGACAGACAACATTATGGCACAGAAGTCTTCGGCGGGAGCCGTGGAGGAGACCCGAGGGCAGGGGGACGGGGCCGAGGACGAGGAGTGGGTAGGTCACGAGCGATGACTGTTGGCCCGGCGTTGGTACAGTTGATCTCTCGACAGGAATTTTGTCTGTAGGGGGCTGAGGTTGTGTGTAGGACAAGGACATGGCAGCGTACATTGTATGCCCCCAGCTTTGGTGGAATTCCACGGGATTCCCAAGAATGAGTCAGCCTCAGGAAAATTCTTTTCAAGGAGTGAAGGGTGACTACTTGAGACCTTTCTTTTTTGGTGGGTCTGAGCTGTGCCAATCTATAAGAAAGTCCCAAAGATTAATAAAAGCAAGGGATGGAAAAAATGGACCATGGAGGGGAACCGGTGAAACCTGATGCCGTTGGATCTCCAAACATTTTCACTTCAAGTGAATACATTAGCCATGTTGTGGCAGCTGAGCTGAATGAGTTTTTTTTTTTTTTTTTTTTTTTCCCCCTCCTTCGCTCTGGGCTCCCTGCCCAAAGTGGCTGGAAGATGGCTGGCTTGGTCCTCACTAGGTTGTTGTGTGTGTGTGTGTGTGTGCACGCGTGCGTGCCAAAGATCAGCCCCTAGTTGATCTTCAGTCCATCCACAGTGGATGTGTTTTTCTGAAGCTTATTTCACCTGAAGATTTGAATTGATGTCAAAAGGCCCCAAATTGAACATTTAAAACAAAGTCCCAGAAAGATGGGCTATTTATCTAAGTGATGCTGATAATGACATTCGCCGGAGAAAGCAGGGAAGGAAGAATGGAGGGTCTGGATTCCTCTTTGTTGTAGTAAAGTGAGTCTTGGAATGAAACATGATTGGAGCTGCCAGGCCAGTTCCCTGGTCCTCTCAAACAAGGTGAAGCCAAGAAAGGTGGCTGAGGGCTCCATTGGTACCCCTCAGTGGGACCCTTGTTGGACTTGTAGAAGACTTTTATGAAATGCACATTGTTCACTTCTCTTCCCTTAACCCCTAGGATGACTGAGGTGAGTGGGCGTGAAGCGCCCCTGGGGCCACTAGCGCTGCTGAGACTGTGATCTGTCAACATCTACTCTGGAGTTGAAGGGAGCGGTCCACCAAGCCTTCCCTTGTTCTTCCTCCAGCTGCCCCAGAATACTCTTGGAATAAGCACTGCTAAAGTGAAATCCATGACCGTGACATGACCAATGGCGCCCCACGCTGTGGCTCCTGGAGGGGCCCTCCCTGGATGTGAGTCTAGATCTCCTAGACCTTTCCACGGTGGTCCTTGCCCTGAATGGCAGCCTTGTTTCTGGAGGCAGGCAGTGGAATTGAACTTGGTCTTGGTGTACACTTGGGGAATGTCCCTCATCTGCATGCTTTCCCCTGTCCTTGTATATCCTGCCTTCCTCCCACACCTGCCCCCCCCCCCCCCCCCCCGGGCCCTGAGCTGTAGCCTTTGCTCTCCTATTCAAACCTCCTTGTTCCCTCTGTGCCCTTTTCCTTCCCCAGAGCTGCCAGTTCTTTATTCCTCCTCTGGTTCTCTGCAACATTGCGGGGCTTCCTGTCTCCTGACCTCCCTGGCTGCAGTCTGATGGGGATGCTGTTCTCGGGGAGGCCTAGAGTCTTCCCAGGTGTGGCTGGCTGGTCCCCACCTTGCAGGCTCACTCTGCCAGGCCACATTTCGATAACACCTTTGTTGCTATTGTTTTGTACTTTGAGAACTTTTTATGAGTGAGTAAACCTTCAGAAAAGGATTCCTGTGCATTGACTGGGTCATGTCAGGTGTCAACAGTCTTCCAGCTGAGCAATGATCCTATAAGAAGGAAGCTGTGTCTTTTTGATCATGAACATCGCCTTGCTGGGTAGTGTTCCCGCACTCAGATCCGAGATGGGACGTGGAGTCAAATGGGGCAGAGACTTAGTGACATTCGGATCCTGTTGGCCTCAGGGACAAGATAGGGTGGTGGTGAACTAACAATTATTGAGTCCCCTAATATGTCAAACACAGCACTAGATGCTTTCCATGATGGTAACTTAGCCACTGACCTGCTTCCTGGTGTGAGCGCCCATATCCCCCATTTTTCAAAAGTTTATGTTGTAACACTTGGCTTTTATGAAAGACCTATATTAGTACCTGTTTTTCCTAACCAAAAGAAATCTTCAGAGGGTTTTCATTTTTGTGATAATAAGGCCAAAAAAAAGAAAAAAGAAAATGGCATTCAGCATTTGTTTCGCAGGGAGCCATTACAGAGACAGTGTGCACCCCAAGTAGTGAGAGGGACCCCACCCATCTCCTTCCCCAGGAACTGTATGTACCCAAGCATCAAGCCCCCAGAGCTTTGAACTGTGTCTGGGAGCATCTGTGCTTTATTGCAATGGATTTTGTGCACGTGTTAGCAAGATGTGCCCTAAGGTTTCAGAAAAGCCTAAGAGAACGCTCATTTCCCCCATGGAAATTAATGGTGAGTGCTTCCTCACTGCCTCTCATAGGGTTCGTAGGAATGCTGTACTTTTTCGATAGTGGGGGAAACCTGTACTTGCTAAGCGCTTGCAACCTCTTAACTGTCCCAACCATCCTGGGAGGTATGTGTGATTATTCCCGTTTTTAAATTTAATATGATTTTGAAACTTAGAGGCTCCATCCGCAGTATATAGAGGAGAGAGGAATTTCAACCCAGGCAGTCCGATTTCAAACTGTATAATCTTCACTGGGTTATTCTGCTTCCACGTGTATACTACAGGGGAGGAAAGGGGCTCTGGAAAGGTTAAGGCAATTTCCCCAGAGTCACAGCTAGTAAGTGGCACAGCCAGGATTTAAATCCAGGGCTTTGGAAAGCCAAGCTTATGTTCTCCACCTGCCCCCCTCCCCCACCATCCTTTGCTTCCTAGACCTACAGAAGGACCTTGGACACGAGGGCCAGAGGATTCCTGGCCCTGTGAAGTGGGGTTATATCCCTAGATGGTAGGGAACTTGCCTAAACCCTTGACTGCTGATCTGTCCAGGCTGAAATCAGTTCCATTGGTATTAGCAGTTGAGTAGGTAATATTATGCTTCCCGAACTTATTATCATGGTTCCAATTTTCATTTACCTTCTTGCATATTTGAGCCTGGGCTTGACAATATGGCGGTGAGGCTTGGGATTCACGCTTCAGTGAGGCCACCTGAAGTCACGGGTTACTGGTCTGCCTACGGATCTCTTGTGTTCTTGTCGCCCTTTTCTTAGTTTAGATCCCTGTGACCTCTCACCTCGATAATTATAGAAGCTGCCTCTCTGTGTCCTGTGTCTGAATGGGGGTGTCTGGGTGTTGAGCGTGCTGGGACCTCAGTCATGGGGGTGGCCAGGGAAGCGGTTAAGCAGCAGGAGGACTGGAGATACTGACTGGGAGTAGAGACACCCAGTGAGGGCATCCTGCTGCCCATAGCACTAGGGCCAAAGGGTATGGCAAGGTCATACAGGCAGGCCACCATTCCATAAAAGGAGGTCCAGTGTGTCAGTGGGGGAAGCCCTGGACAAAAAATGGGCAGGAGAGAGGTGAAGGAAGGAAGGAAGGAGAGAAGGAGGGGAAGGACAGTGGGATGGAGAAAGGTAAAGGCCTTTGTGGCTGGAGCTCAGAGAACGGGTGGAGATGATGCAGGACATCAGGCATGGTATTTTTAGCATGTTAAGTATTTTAGGACTTTATCCTTAACTTCCTGGAAGCCACTGATTCTGGGGAGAGTGGTACAATTTGATTTGTTTCTATCGAAGATCATTTGACTGCAGAGAAGCTGAAGGCAATGAGCCCAACTGGGAGACTGCCTTAATTGTCACAGTGAGAGGCTAGATAGAGTATGTAGCGAGGGGAGTGGAGATGGAAAGAAGTCCAGGTAGATGGAGGAGAAAAGGGACTTTCCAGCAAGACATGAGCACCTGAAAAGCCATGGAGGTGGGGGTGGGGCCTGCTCCTGGAATATTGTGTCCCTGGTTGTTATACCATACCTACACATAAAACTTGATAATCCTTTTTCAGTTAATGTTATATAATCGCTTCCCACGTTGCTACAGAGTCTTCATAACCATTGTTTTTTAAGATTGACTGCCATTTAGCAGCTCTATCATTGTCCAATTTTGGGGTAATTAATTGACTCCTACTTGGAGCTAATGTAATTAACATGTCAATAAGTGTTCTAGATTATGTAGTTCCCTAAATCTCACCCATACACCCTCCCTGTCCTGCCCCCCCACCATATTTTTGTATCTTGGGGTTATTTCTTTAGAATCAGATTCCCGGGAGTCAGATTACTGGGAATCTAGGAGTCTTCTGCAGAAGTTTTTCTAGATTGTCAAATTGCTTTCCAAAAGGGTTGTTCTGAGTTAAAATTTCACCAGCACTGTAGGAGAGGACCTTTTCCATGCTAACTTTGCCAGAATTGGGTGTAATAACATTTGAAAAATGGTATTTGATAAGGTAAAACAATACTTTAAAGTTAATAATTTGCGATTAGCTTTTCTCCCCCATTAATAGTGAGCTTAAAGATTCTTTCCATGTTCATTACCTAGATATATTTCCTCTTTGCTTACTCAGTTTCTTTACCTGTTGATACACTGAAGGTGGAGGTCTTTTCGGTTATTTATATTTTAAATATAACAACTTACCATATTTTATCAACTTCTGTTTTTAAAAAATTGATTTTTTTACAAACATTAAATCTTTATATAGATATATCTGTTGACTTTTTGTGATGTTTTTATTGCTTCTAGGTTTATATTCTCCTTTCAGATGTTAGATACTCAGTTTCAATTCTTTCATTTTGGTTATTACCTGATTTCACAATTAAGTCCTTAATCCACTCTGCCTTTAATTTGTGAAAGGGTAGGAAGTGAGATGACTAAATAGCTTATTTTCAAATTATTAACCAGTTCTCCCAATACAGTTATTGGCTTCCTTCCCACTCTCAAGTTACGATGTCTCCTACATCACATATTAAAGTTATTTTATACTTAAATTATTATTCTATTTCAATGTCTCCCTATAGTGACAATGTGAACTATCATAGTAGGTTTTAATAGTTGGTAGAGCTAGGTCTCCCTTATTATTCTTCTGTTTTAGTATTTTGTTATTTCTCCTCAACATTTGAAACATTTTGTCAAGTTTCAGTGCATATTAATTGACTTCATATTTTTTTTTTCTAAGTATGCTCCCCACCTGGGGTGTAGTCCAACGCAGGGCTTGAACTCACAGCCCTGAGATCAAGACCTGAGTTGACATCAAGGGTCAGATGCTTAACTCTTGGATATTTTTTAACTTAAAAAATCTGTCTATAAGAGTGATACATATTTATTTTAGAAAATTCGAAAAAATAAAAAACATCAAATTTCACTGCTTTGTTAAATTGCTTATGTACCACTCAGTTAAATGCCATGCATTGCTCCAAGTGCTTACAAACAACTGATTTTGTATTTTTAACCGTCTAAGTGGAATAGTTTTTTTCAAGTAGAAAAGAGCCTAGTTTTAAAGTAAAGGAAACTGGGTGCCTGGGTGGCTCAGTTGGTTAAGCGACTGCCTTCAGCTCAGGTCATGATCCTGGAGTCCCGGGACCGAGTTCCGCATCGGGCTCCCAGCTCCACAGGGAGTCTGCTTCTCCCTCTGACCTTCTCCTCGCTCATGCTCTCTCTCACTGTCTCTCTCTCTCTCAAATAAATAAAAAATAAAACATTTTAAAAACAAATAATAAAGTAAAGGAAACTGATACTATGCCTGTTTTACAGATGAAGGTGCTTGGCCAAAGTACCCAGGTGGTCACCGGAGCCAGGGTTATAACCAGGGCAGTGCTGAACACTGAGTGATGCTGACATTCCACTAGACATGATTATTATTTGTATTTGATTGTATCTACTTAGTCTTTTACACAGTGGGATGTCCATGTACATACCTTGTGTGATCTTTCACTTACAGATAGGCCAAGAACACTTATCTATACTGTAAACATTTCACAGTATTATTTTCAATGACCTTTTAGTATTTCTCATGTGCATGCCAAAAAAGGCATTTAACAAATAACTCGTTT